TGGCATGCGTGCGGCCCGGGTTCGATCCTCAGCACCACATACCAACAAAGATGTTGTGTCCGCCGAGAACTAAAAAATAAATATTAAGTTTTAATTCTGATGGTTGTTTTACTACTTGCTTTCCTTTGGAACACTCTAGAGACTTTGCCACCACTCAGTGCTGCTACACCTCAAATATTCCAATACTCCATATCTGGCCAGTTTTCTATGCCKATATATACACTACTACTACTACACCTTCCAGTCCCCCTCTCTCTCCCTTTCTCCCCATCTGGCAAATATATCATGACTTTCCATTCTCCCTATTCACCTAAACCCCCAGCACAGTCACTTCTACTACTCTTTTATTGGTGATCTCAACTCAGCTGGCCTCCTCTCCTTAATATTACCTTGGAAACCATCAGCCCTGAATATTTTGACAATCTGCTCTGCTACTCCTACATTCAGGATGGAAGAAAATAAAACAGACTGAACTGGTCAGAATTTAAAATTTGCATGATAAGTTATTTTCCCCCATCTTCAGAGGGTAGACTCACAAATAACTGGTCTCTAATCTCAAACACCCTTAATTCCATTCAATCATTTTTATATGATTCATCACTGTCATAGGAAATTCTAAACATTGGGTTTGTACATTCTCAGCACTTTACCTTGGGTCTGAGTTGCAAAGATACAAATCTACCCAAAGCCTTAACTCTTTCCTGTACAAGGCCTGTCTTCTCTACCTCTGCTCCAAAGTCCAACCCTGTCATTCTTGAGATTGAACCAAGTTTAAGTTATTTTGTAATCAAGATCTAGGTCAATTTCCCAGCAGTATCCCCTGCCTCTTCTCTAAGTGTACCCTGCCTGCAGCTCTGGGAATTTCCAGACATGAAGAGGGCCTGAGGTTCATTCAATGTGATGCTTTATGTCTAATAAGGCCACCTGCCGGAAGCATATTCCCAGGACAGAGTCACTTGAACAAAACTGAACTTATGTTCCCAAGAAGGCTATGATAACAAGGATTGAGGATTAGTCCATTTTTCCATTACTTTAGCCAAAGACCTGAGTCTAGGTAACTTATAAAAGAAAAGGAGTTTTATTTAACTCACAGTTTGGGGAGGCTGAAAGTCCAATCAGCATGGCACCTGCTCTGGTGAGGATCCCCTGGCTGCATTGCATCACAGTAAATGGCATCATGGTGGGAACATTAGCAAGAGGGAGAGATAACACAGTGAGATAACAAGCCAGAGCATAGAGGGGCCAGTCTTGCTCTTTCATAATCACCTTCTCATGAGGGCCCCACAAGAACTACACCAATTCCTTCTAAGGGCAACACCTGCAGTGGCCTTCTACTAAGCTCTACCTCTACAAAGTTCTGCCATCTCTCAACATGGCCACACTAGGAACTGAGCTTCCAACACCTGAATGCTTGGGGTGGGAGGGGAGGCCCTTCAGCCCCTCAAGAAGGAGAACCTAGGCTATAAACAAAGGGATGAAGTTAAAATCATGAACCAAAGATTCCAATAAATGGGAAGTCCCAATTGAGAGAGCAAGAGCAGACAGGAAGTAGAAAGCAGCCCATATGGAGTAGAAAGATATGGAACAATCTTTCTCTCAACTACCCTTTGATCCACCACAAGCATTTTAGCCATAAATAGTAAGAAGTAACTTCAGCACTTTCATCAACTGAGATTTTGCAACCATATCATTTTTTTAACTTTTTTTAGGCTGGGGATGTTAGAATTCACCTCAGTGGTTGAGCACATGCTTATTAGCATATGTAAGTTTCAGGGTTCAATCCCTAGAATTCCATCTAGTTAAGATGGAAGCAATAAATTCAAAAGTGTAGAAATAAAATGGGCATTCAAAGCATATAAAATAAAATTTATTGCCATTATGTGTTTTAGCAAGTAAAATAAAAAATAACTACTTCAGAAGGAGATTGCATATTCCATTTCCTCATTACATTCATCCAAGAATCCCACATGGGATTGATAAGCTCCTTTCAGAGTTAGGCCTTACGGAACCCTCTGGAGTTCATAATTATCAATGATTATTCCTTCCAAATGAAAAAAAGGGGGGAATGTTGATCTTTTAAATAAATGAGCTAGAATTAAAACAAAACAAATTTTTTTAAAAAGACATGGAACAAGAAACACATCCACCCTTCTTTTCCTCCTCTTGATTACTGCACAGCTGGCTCTTTCATTCATTCCAATTCCATCAAACATCCTTTCTGGACCATGGTCTTTCTGGATCACTCCATCTAAGGCAGCCACTTAGCCACTCATCCTATTTTCATGTTTTGGTGCTGTGCATAGCACTGTTGTACTAGCTGATGTCTTTTCTTTATGTATTTATTTACTGGTGTATTGTCCATCTCTTCCCCCTAGAATGTAAGCTCCACGCGAACACAGCTCTTCTTGTTTACTCTGTATCCCCAAAGGCAAGAATAGTGTTTCAAGTACAATAAACACTCAGCAAATTCTGGGTGGATAAATCAAATATCAGGTACACTCTACTCGTTTTTAAAGATTTCCAGATGATTCTGGTTTCAGCCAGGCTGGAAACCACTGGGCTAATAGTCAAATCTCCTTTCTGTGTTATTTTATGAATTAAAAAAGGGAATTTGGGGGGTTGAGGATGTAGCTCAGTCAGTAGAATGCTTGCCTCGCATGCATAAGGTCTTTGGTTTAATCCCCAACACCGCAAAACAAAAAAAAAAAAGGGGGGGGGAGGATTTTGGGTTCATTTCTCCTCTGCCCCCGTTCTATATTTCCTAATTCTATGATTATTAAAATTCATAAACAACAAATATTTTGTAAATAGTGTTTAATTTTCCCCCCAAAGCAGGCATTGGAGCTAGTATCACAATTAGCCTAAAATTGAATTCTTCCATAATTCTCCTTAGAAATACTATCAGTACTATTTTCTTCCCATAAGTTCTTAAGCCAGTGGTAATTAACTGTGATGAAATACACAGACTATGTTTGAGGAATTAATGACTCTGCTGATGTGGTTTTGCTGTTGTGGTTCTATTCAGTTCGCTTTTCATGTTCCAAATTAAGTCAGGTGGTTTCAAGTAAAGAACTCATAGAAATGGAAACTGATGTTGTTTATGTTGTTTTGTATAACCACAGCACACACATATAGAAATGTAGAAGCAGATGGTGTTGCTGAGGAGTCTTTAAGCATACGGTTTCTAAGATCTTGACTGTTCTCTCCCCAACATTCCTAAGCTATTCAGTTCAGATATCATCTTCTATAACAACTGTAAACATTAAGGGTAATTAATTTGAATTATTTATTTTGCTTTCCCTAATCTCAAACACTGTCTGGAATGCAATAACTACTCAATAAATTCTTCTTGAATTGCACTGCTCAGATATTCACCCTAGCCCACTGGGCTTGCGGGGTGCTTTGCTATGACTTACACAATATTGACATAATTATCACTTATTTAATACTTATCATGTACCATGCACCATGCTAAGTCTTTACCTATAATATTTCATTTAATCCCCACAAGAATACTTGAAAGAAATGTGTTATTGCTGTTGAGGAAACTGAGATTCAGAGTTTGGATTTTATCTAGGGTTTTGCTTTCTATTCTATACTGCCTTGTTCAATCAATATAATACCCACAAGAAGTGCATCAATATTTTTAGTGTACATTATTTCTGCCTCAACTTCTTTGTTAATAGATAATAGAAACTAGGACAAGTTCTTAAATAGCTCTAAAAGAGATAACCCTAAGGGAGTTTGGTGAAAACCTATTGTGATTCACTTAACCTCTCTGTATCTCAATTTGCTGATCTTCAAAATTAGTAGGTTTGAACCAAATAATACCTCAAGTTGCTTCTGGATCTGTGTTTTAACCCAAAGGGCATGAAAACCTGGTAAGAAATCCCTTTTAAAATGCAGCTGCAAGTTTGAAAACTCATCCTTAACCTGCAAAGAAGATCAGTTCATAGGTTGAAGGTTACAGCCACAAATGAATTGAGAAGTAAAATTTAATCCTATTTCTAATAAGGGAACAGATGAGCAGTGAAAGTTTTAAAATTCTGAGTCTAACATCAACTAGGTAATGGTTTTGATTCCCAAGCTCTTCTCCACTGAACCTGTATAGTGGTTTTTATGTATTTCTCTGCTGGCAGTGCAGAGATGAAGAGAAAAGCAAGCAGAAAAGAAATCAGGACACTGAGGTCAACACAGAGATAGATAAAAAAAAAAATTCAGAGTTGAATTAGAGAGAAGAAAATAGGAAATGTAGGACTGAGTCAGTAATTCATAAAGGTGTGATCTTTGTTGTAGTATTTCTTGTAATGAGTTTATCTCCTAGGATGTGATAACCAACTCCATTTTTTTCTTGCTTTTTTTTTTTGCACCCTTCTCAACAATTGTTCAAATGCAGATCACTCAGCCTGTCTGCCTTCATCCTTCCAAACTAAACAATATAAATCTTTGCCTGTTTTGATATAAATGGATTCCATTTTAATGTGAGACTCAATGTTTAAGTTTTTCTTTCTAACCACTTTTCTCCAGCAAGATTAGGTAGCTCATCTCCAGATTCTATTTTTGTTCATGCCTGATATTTACCGCATATCTATGTACCCAACATCACTTATCCATATGCTACTCAAAATCCTAAAATTGAGGCAGAGCAGGTTCCTGGTGGGATGACCTAATACAAGAAAATAATTTTAACCAATGTTTTAATACCTGAAGTCAGTTATTAGACTTTTAAAAATGACCTTGCTTATGAAATTTTAAAAATTCTCCTTTGAAATGGAGAAGAAACAATTTGAAGAGAAGTAAACACTTCTCTGCCTCCACCTCTACAGCAGTATGTTCCACAGAAAAAGGAACCAGGAAGAGCGAAAAGACTCACTAAATATTTTAATAGTAAGTTTAAGGTTAGGAAGTTGCAACAGCAAAAGGAAAAGCAGATAACTTGAAGGCCAAGTGTCACCGATTTTTGTCTCTGTCCTTAGAAGATTGCTGATGTAGAGTCACTGTGGCTTGCTCAAGACTCTCGGGATCGAAGACACAGCTCTAAGGTAAGATTCCCTGGACTATCGCCTAGTCCTATCACCTGAATGGACCCTCCAGGATCAGTTTTCTGAAGTTCTGTGGCCCATTCCCACAAAAGCAGCTCAGTGTCCCCAAATGGAAGTGATGTCTTCCTTAGAGCTGTTTGTGCCAGTAAGTGCCATTACATCAATCTTAAGAKAACTCCAAATCTGAGAGCTCTACCTGAAGAGATGGACATTGGGATTTTTCAAAACTCTCTGAGGGTATCCAAAATTTAGTACAGGTACTCTAGTGAGGAAAGAAGTATATCCTGGGGCTGGGGATATACTAAACGGTAGAGCATGAAGCTCTGGGTTCAATCCTCAGCACCACATAAAAATTAATAAAATAAAGGGGCTGGGGTTGTGGCTCAATGGTAGAGTGCTTGCCTAGCATGTGTGAGACACTGGGTTCGATTCTCAGCACCACATACAAATAATTAAAATAAAGATCCATCAACAACTAAAAAAATTTTTTAAATAAATACATAAAAATAAATTAAATAAGGGCATTGTGTCCAACTACAATTAAATTTTTTTTTGTTTAAAGAAGTATATCCTGTAGTATTAAAAGAGCAAAATGAAGCTATTACTGGCTTTAATATAATAAGCTGAGCAAAATAATAGATTAGAAAATTATTTAGCACTTACTGTGTGCCATGAAGGGAGCTCAGTAATTTTAAAACATTTTCTTATTTAGCCTTCATAAAAATTCATAGGGAATGCTGAGCGTAGTGGCTCATGCCCATAATCCCAGCAACTTGGAGGCTGAGGCAGGAGAATCAGGCCAGCCTCATCCACTTAGGCCCTAAGCAGTTCAACAAGACCCTGACTCAAAATAAAAAATTGAAAGGATAGGGAATGTGGCTCAGTGGTAAAGTGCCCCTTGGATTCAATCCTTAGTATGATAAAACAAACAAACAAACAAAACACCCCAGCTTAAAGAGTTACTTAAGAGTCTGTAGTCACAGAGCTAAAATGTAGTAGGGATAAGATCCAAACCCAGGACTATGGAACACCAGAGCCTGAAATCTGCCCCGTTAATTTATGTTTAAGTACTTTAAAACCTTCTTAAAAGATATTTAAGAATGAAGGGGGTTGGGGTTGTGGCTCAACAGTAGAGTGCTCACCTAACACATGTGAGGTGCTGGGTTCGATCCTCAGCACCACATAAAAGTAAACAAATAAAATAGAGATTTTCAAAAAATGAAGAATTCTCCTGGTTGTGTACAATAAATCAAAGTCCCTAGAAACTTTATATAATATTCAGAATCATTTTGATATTATTCAAGTTCTACAGTATTTTCAGATGCCTTTTAAGAGCTTAGCCACATAATTAAAAATTTTCCTAAAATTCAGCTTTCCACAATCACATATGAAGAGATCCCCCTACACACACCCAAAGCACAAACACATAAACACCATAACATACACCATTCCAAATAGAGCCTGCAGACATATATACACAGATCACACAAATATACTACAGACACACATACACAGACCTCACATCAAACAGACATATACAGAAACCAAAACCTATCTGCATGCGCACAAACACACTAGGTATACAGAAAGAACAAAGGCATACCTAGCTTCCCCCTCTCTCTCTCTCTCTCTCTCTCTCTCTCTCTCTCTCTCTCTCTCTCT